CAAATATCCTCCTCCACTAATCAGTGATGTTTTTACAAACCTGCACAATAAAACAATTTTTTCAACAATAGATCTTGCAAAAGCGTATCATCAGGTGCCGATGCATGAAGAGGACATACAGAAGACTGCCATCATAACTCCATGGGGATTATATGAGTACCTCTGCATGCCTTTTGGACTGAAGAATGCCACTCAGACATTCCAGCGCTACATAAACCACATATTCCAAGACATTGACTTTGTGTTTATATATGTGGATGATATTCTGGTTATGTCTGAGAACATGGAGCAACACCATCGCCACCTGCAGATAGTTTTTGAGCGTTTGCAAGAACATTCTCTAACCATCAACACCAACAAATGCGTCCTAGGCAAGTCCCAAGTAGATTTTCTGGGTTACAAGCTCAGTGAGAAAGGCTATTCTCCAGCTACAGACCGGGTGGACAAGATTTTGAACTTCCCACAGCCAACAACAGTTCTGGAACTGCGTAGGTTTCTGGGAATGCTGAATTATTACAGAAATCAGTCCCAAAAGCAGCCAAACTGCAAGCACCGCTGAACAGTTACCTACGTAGTTCAGTCAAGAAGGATAAAACCCCTATCACTTGGAACCCAGAATCTCTGCAAGCCTTTGAGGATGTAAAGAATGCTCTTGCAAACGCCGCTTTACTTCATTATCCAGCTGCTGCAACAAATATATGTTTGGTAACAGATGCGTCAACAACAGCCATTGGAGCCACTCTGGAGCAGGAAGAAAATGGTGCATGGCACCCTATAGGTTTCTACTCCAGAAAGCTCACATCCACGGAACAGAGGTATTCAACATATGATCGCGAGCTTTTAGGCATCTTTGCGGCCATAAAATATTTTGAATACCTGCTGGAAGGTAGGCATTTCATTATCAAGACAGACCACAAACCCATCACATATGCATTTCAGCAGAGACCTGAAAAGGCGTCGGACAGACAGCGTAGGCAATTGGAATACATATCCCAGTTCTCTACTGAAATTGTGTATGTGAAAGGTGAAGAAAATATAGTGGCAGATACATTATCAAGAATTAACACTATTGAAATGCCTACCAGACTGTCAGCTGAACAAATATGTATAGAGCAAAGCTTGGATCCAGAAATGCAGGAGCTGCTTGGTGGAGAAACTTCTCTCAAACTACACAAATTAACATTGGATGGTTTTCCGATCTATTGTATAATTGAGTCAAACTTTGTTAAACCTTATCTCCCACAGAGCCTCCGCAAAACTGCATTCGACGTAGTCCATGGTATTTCTCATCCAAGCATCAGGACTACATCCAGGGAAGTACGCAGCCGGTATGTTTGGCCTGGAATTGGAAAGGATGTTGCTACTTGGACTCGTCAATGCATATCCTGTCAAAAGTCCAAAATCCATAAACATAATCATTTCAATCCTTTGCACATCCCTATTCCTGATGAAAGATTCTCTCATATTCATATTGACATAATTTCCTTACCCAATACTAATGGTTTTCCTTACTGCTTAACAATTATTGACAGATTTACAAGATGGCCGGAAGCCATTCCACTGAGAGACATCACAGCTGAGACAGTCACGCAAGCATTGTTTACGTGCTGGATTTCCAGATTTGGTACACCAACTACAATAACATCAGATCAAGGCACGCAGTTTGAGTCATCTATCTTCAAGTCCTTGGCACAGGCAGTTGGTGCAAGGAAAGCACGTACGACAGCATACCACCCTCAAGCAAATGGATTGGTAGAACGTTGGCACAGAACCCTAAAAGCTGCACTGATGTGTTCTTCTGAACCGTGGATCAAGACACTACCCTACGTACTACTTGGTCTACGGAATTCATTCAAAGAAGACATCAAGACATCAGCAGCAGAGATGGTTTACGGAACCACATTGAGACTTCCAGGTGATTTTTTCAATACATCTAATAACTCACAGAATCCACAGGTCTTTCTAGAGAATCATGTGTGCATTGAAACCAACTCCAACAGCCCACCACAACAAATCCAAGATTTTCATTTTGAAAGATATGGGCACATGCACACATGTATTCCTCAGAGCAGATCATGTACGAAAGCCCTTGGAACCACCTTACAGAGGACCCTATGAAATACTTGAGCGAGTTTCTGATAGGATTTACAAACTTCGCGTTAATGGGGCCGCAAAGAACTTCGCTGTTGAAAGGCTAAAACCAGCATATATAAATAAAACAGATGCAGATTACGAATCACTTTCTCAACCACTTCATACACATCCCTGGGAATCATCAAAGGAACCTACAAAGAAAACAGCCAAAAAGAAAGTTGCGTTCAATATTTGACAACACACATTTAACCTTATTTCTATTCTGACAGATAGCTAACTTTCATCTTGGGGGGAATGATATGGCGTCTCCCTACACCTAGCGGCGAGAGTAACAACCAGAAACGCCAATACCAACTTCATAGACAAGTTGCGTGTGAAGAACGTCGCAAACTGTCAAGTTGGCGACGGCGCATCGTGCAACACTTGCGTGGGCTCGAGGGATGCGAAAAATGCAATCTCACCCTCTTGTGCATCAACCTTTGGAAGAGTGAAGATATAAACCTAACCTAAATACACTTTATATCAGTGAGATGCTTTATACTTGTTTTGTTATTATAAATTAAACTTATATACACGTTATTCAGTTCTTTTAATTATAAATATAAATTATATATAGACCCAACATCTATAGTTATATTTATTTTCAAATGAACAATTTAACAATATTATATTCAGGAATGCAATTCCAATAATTAATGTTATTATAATTAATATTAATTATATAATTAATCTTAATTAATATAGTATATAATTCTTTTTTTTATTTTAAACTTTTAATGTAGTAGAGTTTATTGTAACGCCAAAGGATATACAATATTCTTGGTGAGATTATTAGGTGTATAAATATATAAATTATTTGGGTTTCTGACTCTTGAGTAAGCAACATATAGCTGCCCGTGATTAAAGCACGGATTTTCTAAATTTGTACCGCAAAAGTTCATTATCTGCCCTTGTGACTTGTTTATGGTCATAGCATATGCCAAACGTATAGGAAACTGCAGTCTCTTAAAAGGTATTACTGATTCCGAAGGAATTAGTGGTATTCTAGGCAAAAGAACAACATCATCTTTGATTTTCCGCCCAGAATAATTGCCTCTATAATGTTTCCCATAATTTTTGTTATTGCTAATCTTGTGCCATTGCATAATTTTGGGGCATTTTAATTTCTTAATAATATAATTGGAGAACCAACTTTCAATAGTAATTTGTGCGGCGGCATTCCTGGTAAATCAAGAGAATTTAAAAATTCGACTGGATAATTGACGATTTCATCAGGATCAATAACAGTATCAACTGATTCAAATGTGAATTCATATCCTGGCAGTATCTGTTGTATTTTTAAATTCATTTCGTCTACATCCAAATTCGTTGCTCCTAAAATTGCTCGTTCTAGTAGCCACTCATGATCTTTATGATTATGCTTTAAATTTGGAAAAATATTTTCTATTAGTTTGGCTTTGCTATCAACCATATTACAAAAATTATCAGGGAATTGAATGTACTCTGTATTTTCATAAAAAGTAATTCTGCCATTACCAATATCCAATAATTGTTGTGAAAATTTTAACCCCAGTGCATCATTTAGACATTGAACACGAATGTTAACACTAAGATATAATTTCTTTACGTGGCACCACAGATAAGACTTTTTTAAGCAGGCATTTATTTCATCAGCACGCGTCGCTCGTGGGATAATGGGCAATGTCTGTATGAAATCGCCAGACAGTAGCAATAGGCAGCCACCAAAAAGACGATTATTATTTTTTATATCTTTCAGCGACCTATCTAAGCTTCAAGCGAATGCTTGTGCGCCATAGTACATTCATCCCAGATGATTATTTCACATTTTCGCAAAACTTTCGCCATTTCTGATCTTCTTTATGTTGCACATTGCTTCTTGGTTAACATGAACATTTAAAGGTAACTTAAATGCCGAATGCGCAGTTCGTCCTCCTTCAAGTAATGTTGCTGCAATTCCTGATGAAGTTATTGCCAACGCAATATTATTTTGCGACCGCACACGCGCAAGAATCAGTGAAATAATAAATGTTTTGCCAGCGCCTCCGGGCGCGTCCAAAAAAAAAGAATCCGCCCTGTTGTGCATCAATCGACGTATTGATTTGATCATATACACTTTGTTGCTCGGCAGTAAGCAATATCTCATTATTAGCAACAAAAGTAGCTAAAGCAGTTTTATCAAACTGGTATTCACGTTGAACATCGCTGTTCATGATATCTACTGCTGCTCGGCTCGGTGCTGACATGCCAAATTGAATTAGCGACATGTTCGAAATTTGGATACAAATATCTTCAATCATTATTAAGTCTTCGTTATACATTTGTTCTGAAAATTCATGATTATTATCTTGATTATCAATTTTATACCGATGCAAAATATCCTCACTCATTGGGTCGTTATGTGTATTCCACAGTGCAGATGCATTTGATGGAAAACATGTTGTTAATATTATTGCAAATAATTGTCGAATTTTTGATGTGCAGATGAAATCAGTGCTGCATCTGCAAGAGTCATGTCCCATTGATTTGTCATTCTCCAATAAGTGCAACTCACGGCACGCATCATAAAAAGTTTCATATAAAATTCCATTGACTGTCCTCAAATTTTGGAATGATCTTGGTCCTATACAATCTACCCAAATTGTTTGTCATATATATGCCTTCGAATCCTGAAACAGGAATACCTCGTTTTCTAGGTACCCAATCTTTTAATTTTTTATTCCATGTAAAATATTTAGGTGTATCTGTATATAATAATGTTCTAGCAAATCTTCCAGCAATATCTGATCTATTACAAAGTTTAAAAAATACAGTTAGAGTAGTCTTCGGAGCAGTCAAGGCTTGTTGTAATATATTGTTTTCTGTAAAGTATACCCGCTGACCGTTCTTCAAATGCACAGCCAAATGTACCACAGATCGATTCCTTTCATGTATGGAAAAACCAAAAATACGCCAGATAGCTTCATTGCTGCTGACGTATCTCTACCCATTTGATATCGAGTTATTTCATCATTCTCATTAATACTTTTAATTGCAAATATCGCTTTGTCGCTCCCTTTATGAACATATTTGCATATGTATTTTATTGACTTCACCGAGCTGCACAGTTTGGCATTTATATGTGCTTTATAGGTTTTGCATAGCAAAAGCAAATAAGGAACTCCCCATCGATTACCAACATCTATTACCCCGGCATTCGACAGTCGCAATTCAAAACATTGTCCACCATTGTCAACGTCACGTCGCCGATAAGCGGGATAACCATCAATGTCGGTGATAGTATCGTTTTGAAATGATTTTGGAAATTGTTTTGTACATTTTCCATTCACCATGCATGGTGACATAATAGTGAGAGTACCGCATGGACCATGTATCATGTTAGTAGTTATAATATCGAACAATTCCTCATCAACATTTTTATCAGGAATTTCTGCTGAGATAATATTGTCAATCTCTACAGAATGTACCTTATCAATTAACCACAACAAAATATGTGCATGGGGTAAACCTCTTTTCTGCCATTCTACTGAGTATAACCAACAGCGTGTTTCACCAAAAACAGATTGATGCGTTATCAAATTCATCAATTATTTAAACTTCTGTTTAAAAACTCGTGCAGTTGTATCATGCCTATTGATCGCTGTTTGTCCCGGCATCAGCAATTTTTTTATTTCATCCCATTTGGGATTGCACGTAAAGGTAATGAACAGATTAGGTCTGCCATATGCACGAACATAAGCCATAGCATCTTGAATGTACTCCTGCATATATCGCGGACTTCCAATATAAGAAGATGGAAGAATATATGCAGTACCAATATGACTAATATCATTCATTGCATCTACATTACCAAGTACTGCATCAGCAAATGTATATGTTCCTCGGCGCGGAGTTTGGCTTGATTAAACTTTATGAATGTTATTTTCTTCATTAGCTCGAATCATTGATCGGTAGCAGTAAAAGTCCATGGCACTTACTTTTTTGGCAAGTTGTGCACATGGAATAAACTATATTAAAATTATTTTAATTATTATTATTTGATTTTTTTTTATAAAAATAAGATTTTTACGTGTATCTGGATCCCTTTGTTTAATATTTAAATGGTACCCATCTTCACCTTTCCAAAATATCAATGCTTACTGCAAAGCATCATAAGAACGATGACTGTCCTGTATTATCTGCATGGTATTATCTCTCCGTTTTTTTTTTTTTTTTTTTTATACAGAGAAGGAAAAATCTTTCAAAGACACCGTGTGTTTAAAAGATGATGGACGGTAGTGTGGGATTTCCACCCACTAAAAAACCTCCTCTCCTCATTTCCCCGCATACGATCACGGGGAAGACTGGGTCGGAACCGCGTTAGCATTACTTCAACCCAGTCCGTGTTGCGTCACGTGACGTTAGCTCCTAAGTTTATTGGTCCCTCTCGGCGATTTTTGCTGTCAAGAGGCGCCGTGCATAAGCTGCTACCTCGGCCCAGTTTTCCTTGCTTTGCAGCATGGTATTTACAATGTTCTGGGGATTAAGGGCCCTTCCCAGGGACAATTCGGTGTCAGCCCTGAAGTTCTTCCAGCGTGTGCACTTAAAAAAGGTGTGCTCAGCATCGTCGGCTTTTTCCGGACAGTATTTGCACGTCGGTGATGTGTGCAAACCGAACCTGAAGAGATATGCATTGAACGAGCCATGACCCGTCATCATCTGAGTTAGAAAGAAGTCTGTTTCGCCATGTTTCCTGGCGAGCCAGGCCTCGATATTAGGGATCAGACGTGCTGTCCATCTACCACGATCAGACGCCTGCCACCTTACTTTCCATTCCTTCAGGGTGTCCTTTCTCACCATTGCCCTCGCTTCGCTGGCATTGAGGCCTCCTTTTTTGAGGTTATACAACCTGGCCCTTTCGATCGCCAAAAGGTCTATAGGCGGAGCTCCAGCTATAACAAGCACTGCGTCTTCGGAAACTGTGCGATAGGCACAAGCCACTCTAAGTGCTCCTCGCCGCTGTACTGCTGCCAGTTTCTTACGATACGTCTTCTGTTGTAATGTATGCGCCCAGATTTCCGCTCCGTAAAGCAGGACTGAGTGAACCACCTCCAGGAGAGCTCTCCTCTTTTTGGCACGTGGGCCGATAGTATTGGCCATGATTCTCGATAGACTAGACACAGTCTTGCTAGCCCTTGTACACGTGCGTTCCAAGTGTTCACGGAATGTCAGCTTTGCATCTAACTGAACGCCCAAATAGCGGACTGACTTTGTAGACGTCAGTGTTAGTCCGTCGATGATTGTACTAAACGGTTCTGGGAACCATTTTTGGCGTGTTAGGACTACCATCTCCGTTTTCTCTTTGGCTAGCTTCAGATGGTGCTGGTTATCTCTCCGTTGTATACGTATATCACGCCCCTCACATAGATCACCAGCTATTACGACCGCGACTTCATTGACTGTTGGAACATTATATGCGCCAGCATGTTCTCCAACCGGCACTTAGTCTGCTCTAATAATAATAGCGTAATCATCGTTTTCTAGTCTACTTGAAAGAGTCTTAAAAAAATGCAACAACTGGTTATGGTTTTTAAAAAATATTTCTAAAGAGTTCACAATATCTCTTTCCTTCTAAGCTGTATGTGATTAAATTCGCATCGCATGTTTGTTTGTCGTTCATCATCGCCCATAAAATAAATCTGCAAGAATTTCGGATTCACATCAGGCCTGGGAAACAATGAACCGATTTGGTGGTAAACTTGACCTTGTATCTTAAATGTTGATTCGAAATTTCGACAATCTTCATTTTCAAATACTTTCGTAGCACCAAATGACGTCATCTGAAAACATGAATTAAATTTGCAAATTTTTTTCAGTAATATTTTTGATTGATACGTTGTTCCATCTAGTAGAGTTTTTAAAGATTCCGGTGGTGTTGTTAATTTTGTCAATATAATTTTCCCTGATGCGCAAGATAAACCTGCTGATTCTCCTTTGAATTTTAGAGCATGGCAATGTTTACATGCTTTGTCCATATTACCAATGGTAATTAAAGAGTGTGATGAATAATCAATTTCAGGATCATAATTAAACGCCAGGTGCAAAAGTGATGCACGTACCAATGCTCTGTGATTATTAACTCGTCGTTGATTATTTTCTCTAATGGCGGCGGTCGCACCTCGTTGCACCTCTCGATTTCTTAATGCCATGTCTCTCTAAACTTTCATTGGCACGTGTATTTCCTACTTGCTCTCTCAAATTCATATTGTCCATCATATGTTGTTCATGGGTCCTATTCAATCATCGTTCATAGATTGCTCGAGCTTGCCGAGTACGTCTTCCAAAATTACTTGCTCCTCTGCGAATTCGTGGCATCGTGGCACGATAAAAGAAAAGCCTGAATATTATAACCCGCTGGATAATGTGAATCACTTAATCTCACTCTCAAATTCTACTAAAACTATAACTGAAAAATACCAATATCTTCCACTAATACTGTATTATAACTGATTATTATTAAACCGCTTTTTTAAACTATCATTCTCACATTACACATCAAAAACAAATTATATTTATCGCCAATTAATCAAGATAACATAGACTATCCTGGACTCTACTTTCCCGTACATAGCCACATCCTATCAAGTTAACAGGGATAAGACACTCTTAGCGGGCGCAGAGACATCTATGGAACTAACTCGCTTTGATAATTTTATGATATTTAGTTTTTAAAAAAATCTAGTTGTACATGGTTGTATTTTTTTTTCTTAGAAATATTAACACAAAATTGAGCACAATATGGACATGATTTTTAATAAATAATGCTCAAGAGCGTTGACATTAACATTCATTATAATACATTTAATTCATTATATTTCATATTCAGTATATTTATCTCATTCTTTTCTTTCAGTTCTATAGGTTAATGTTTGTATAAATATCGTAATATGTAAGTGTTATCAACATTTAAATTCGAATTATAAGTAAATTGATATTTCTTCAACTGTCATATCTCTAAATGAATATATCTATAGATAAAAGAGTATATGAATATATCATAGGTTTCCTCTCAATTCTCAAACTGATTGTGATTTTCTTTACCTATGCTGCGACTGCATAGTGCAATGAATAAGATTCGTATGGTTAGTTTAAGTTGTTGATCTTGAGTCAACGCATTCAATATTTAATGACTAACTTTCTATAATATTCAATTAAACATTAAGTATAATAAATAAAACATAATGAGTGACAAAGAATTGTTTCATGATTTTTTTTAAGAACGATTACCATCAGTTACATTTGTTACAGTTTGTTAAAGCTAAAAAAAAATAATGTCTTGGTATGTAAAATACCATCATTTATTAATAAAAAGTTTTAATATAGTACTTAATTCGTCAAGCACAATTTTATTTATAATCAATTTATGTAAAACTATAATGTGATTTTGACAGAAAAAATGGTGCCATTGTATGAATAGATACAATTTCTGGAAGACTTTAGAATTAGCAGAACATCTCTAGCTAAGTGCAAGATATCACAAACATACGAAGACGGTGAATATTAAAATAGAAATAAATATGACGCAACAGTTTAGTAAAATAAGAGCATATCTGCATCAGGAAAATAAATGAATTTTATTGCTTAACCAAAACAAATCACCATTAATTATAATTTTAGGTACTAATATTTTCATAGGTTTGTGGGACATCAAACTGACAGCTATAGAGATTTTAGTGATTAGTGAATTGATGGTATTATGAGTTTCATGTTTAAAAAAAACTCCGATTGCTCGCCCGAAAGTTGCAACCGTGTCATTATGTAAAAATTTTTTAAAAGGAAAGAAGAAATTTTCAATACTGCGTTTTGTACAATTGATAAAGGGTAATAATGATGTTCTTACAATATGGACAAATGTATATGTGTATTCAAATTTCGCGCGGGGCTTATCTTTGCAATACAGAATGAAGTATGCTATGCTACTATGCGATTAGGCTTATTGTGTTTATGTACGTCCTGTTCCATATTGTATTTCAAGCAGACCACATCCAGCTAATAAATCATATTATATTTTAAATTGTGTTTTGGTTAATGTTATTATTTATTTTCTTTATTACCATAAAATTGGTCCATCTCACGGATATATAAAATCAGTGCACATTTAGTAGTACCATAACCAAAAATACACATACAAGTTTTGTTTATGCTGTACATGTGGGTCGACAACCTGGAAATATACATTCTTTGATTCAAGTTAGGTGAATATTAAAAACACTGCTTAATTCATGATCTGGAACATCATTTTCTTGTAATTGGAATTGGATTTGGCAAGTTATATCAAATACTATAAAAGCTATACCACGCCCCCAAGCCATTTGACACATAACCTCTATCTAGAGTTTGTTTACTACTACGTTCTATATCTTGGGATACATTGCTGAGGACAAATTAATTCAGGAACAATAAGTTTTACTGGAATTTTGGACCACACACAGGAATTTTTTGGACAATATACAGAAATTCTCTGGGCAGCACACGATGTAGAGCAAGGTATTCAAGTAACAACCTGTTGCTGAGTCTAAATCTTATATATTACATACTCATTTTTATATTTTTTTCATATATATTTTGTACATTACTATTGTTCAAATTATTACCTTTATTTTGTTATCGTAAAGATATATCGTATACATTTTATAAAAGTGTACAATTCCATAAAAACGATTTACCAAATTTAAAAAATATTTGTATACCGCGATGCATTTTGAAACATTTATCTATTTCTGAGATAGAATACCACGGGTTTGCAGACGCATCTCTATCTGCATATGGCGCAGGTATATATTGTTCTGTAATAACACGATCATACGTGCTTTTAATCAAAATATGAATTCATTGTTCAATGTTGATCAAAGTCCAAGATCTTTACATGAACGCGGAAGACGCCATTCCTAGAATTGTCACGTACAATGCATAATATATAGAGTCAGAATTATTTGTATTAACCAGTGATGTCTTAGTCAAGACTCTAGCTCAGCGATTTCCAACCTGTGGGGCGCGCCCCCCTGGTGGGGCGCGGTGCCGTCCCAGGGGGGGGCGCAAAGCTCTTTCAAAAATATGGTTGTTAAATGCTGAGTAAGTGTCAAAAACAAATCAGCAAAATGTATGCAAGTAATCTACAATTTTCGCTGCAATTTTGTCAGGACAAATGTAAAAGCATGAATATACTATACTTTTTGGTGCATTCAAAATATTTCGTTTTTGCGTTTGTAGTTGAGTGAGCTGTAGGCCTATAAACAAAAGATAAACACTCGGATCATATCGAATATTCACGTGCTTACTCGAGACTAACTTAAGTAAATAAACAAAAGCATCCTTTTTATTCTGTTATCTATAAATCGAATTAGTTCATTAGTTGTGCTGGAGATACACGCGTTGATATATAGAAAAAATCATTTCTAAATTATTATTGAGTTAAAATTTATAGCTTTAATTTTAGCACATTATTAGCCAGGAATTATTGTGAAAAGTAGTGAAAAAGTGATTTTCTTTGATTTGTAATAAAAACCGTTTGTAATGGATAAATACGTGACTGGGTTGAAAAGAAAATTTAATGAAGCAGAAGAAGAGGGTGGTGAAAATAATGGAAATGTTTCTTCACAAAATAGTAAAACTAAACATAGAAAATATGATCCAATGTACTTATCATTGGGATTTACGTATAAGATCATTAATGGTCAAGAACGACCAATGTGTTTGCTGTGTATGAATACTTTGGCCTCAGATAGCATGAAACCAAGTAAATTAAAACGACATCTGGAAAAAGTGCACGCCGATCATGTTGGCAAAACAAAAGAATTTTTCCAAAGAAAATTAGATAACTTAAATAAACAGAAAGAATCGTTTTCAAAAGCTTTGTCTGTATCACAAAAAGCGTTACTTGCGTCATACAAAGTTTCGTATAGAATTGCTAAATGCAAAAAACCCCATTCAATAGGAGAAACTTTAGTACTACCAGCAGCTATTGACATAATAGCTACGATGTTTGGTGAATCATATGCTGATCAAATTAAAAGCATTCCGCTGGCAGATAATACGGTGGGAAGACGAATATCAGATATATCTGATGATCTTTGCGATCAGTTGATAGAAAAAATTAAATTATCTTCTTTCGCGTTGCAAGTAGATGAGGCTACCGATGTTGCTAAGGATGCACACTTAATAACATATATAAGATATGTTATGGAAAATGATATTAGAGAAGAGTTGTTATTCTGTAAGGCAATTGAAGGCAAAGCTACGGCGAGTGAAATTTTTAATATGATTGATAACTTTTTTATTGAAAATGGTATTTTATGGGAGAACTGTGTTGGACTGTGCACTGATGGAGCTCCATCTATGGCAGGAAAAAATGCTGGTCTGCAGGCCCTAGTTCGAAAAGTGGCTCCTCGTGCAGTTTGGACGCATTGTATGATTCATAGGCAATCTCTTGTTGCAAGAAATATGGGTGAAGAATTACTTGAAGTATTTGAAATTATAATAAAAGTTGTTAATTTTATCAAAAATAGTCCATTAAGAGAAAGGCTTTTTGGAAAATTGTGTGATGACATGGGCTCAGAATACAAAGCACTACTTTTGTGAAGCACGTTGGCTTTCTCGTGCTAAAGTACTTCAAAGGGTGTTTGAGCTCAAAAAAGAAATTGCAATTTTTCTTGCTGATAATAAAAGAGATGAAGCAGACATATTTTATGACACGAAGTTTCTCGCAAAATTTGCGTATCTAGTTGACATTTTTAAAAGACTAAGTGATTTAAATAAATCAATGCAAGGAACTCAAATTCATGCTTTTGTTCAAAAGGACAAGATTACGGCGTTTATGAAAAAAATAGAGCTATGGATAGCTAGTATGAAAAGTAATAACTTTGATATGTTTCCTTCTTTTAAAACTACATGTGTTAATGATGATGAAATAGAAGCAAGTAAAGATCTTATTATCAATCATATGACTAGTTTAAGGAACCAATTTGCGCATTACTTCAAAGATCTAGATATGTCCAAATACGAATGGATTAGAAATCCATTTGTTATTGATAAATATGATAATTTTGGACTTCCAACGGCAGGAAATGATAATTGATTTATCTAGTGATAATAGCACATTGAAGCAGATGTTTCAGGACGAAAAGAATATTGTTAAGTTTTGGTTACAAGTAAAGGACGATTTTCCAACTTTGACAAATAAAGCCTTAGAAATTTTATTACCATTTGTGACATCCTACTTATGTGAAACTGGTTTTTCTGCAGTAGCAGTATTAAAAACAAAGTACCGATCTCGTTTAGTGATAGAAAAGGAACTGAGAACAGCGATTTCTACAATGGAGCCGCGGTTTGAGAAAATTTGTGCTGAAAAACAAGCTCAACCGTCGCATTAATTTTTTAATATTGTGTGAAATATTATATCATTTGTTTTTATTAAATTTAAAATTATTTTTTTCCTATAATCCATTGTTATGTTTGTATGTATATTTTTGTATGTATATTTTTGTATGTTTATTTTTATATGTATGTATATTGTGCATTATTTGGTACGAGATTGAATAAATCATAATTTCAATTAAGTATATTTAAATTAAATTGTTAAAAAAATTAGGGGGGGCGCAATATTTTTTTCTTTCAAAAGGGGGGCGCAAGGAAAAAAAGGTTGGAAACCGCTGCTCTAGCTAGTGATGTCTTAGTCAAGACTCTAGCCGAGTGATGATGTATTAAGAGTAGTCTTAGATAATCTAAGTGGAGATTATGTCTGTGAACTAAAGAAAATAAATACAGTGTAAAACATTACAAGTGGATTTTTATTGGAAACCAGAAGCTTGTCTCTTCCAGCGAATACCTTATTGAAAGTACCCATTACTCTGAAGAGAACTCTCATCAAACCAGTCGATCAAACATTATTCCTACTGCTCGACCCAAGGCATCAAGAAAGGTTGGACGGACATTATTACCATATCGTATAGAGAAGCTACTACAGTAACCAATATCCAGGACTGTGGATCTTTCAACAAACGGACCTCCAACCCATACCTAAGCCTTACTACCAACACCTTATATCATTTCAATATATTAAAAATTTTTACTCTAATAAAACTACATCTACCAATTTATTATGCGCTAAAAGGGTAGCACCAGTAAAGAATATTACATTACCGCATCTTGAACTGTGTGCTGCATTTATTATCTACATTATATAAATATGTATGTACTAATGTCGATATCAAATTTAATAATTTTTTTATGGAGCGATTTTACTCGCTACTATACTATTTCGTGTTGGCTTGGATCAAAACTGACCCAAGTCAATTAAAAATGTTTGTAAGTAACCGTGTAGCCGAAATTATTGAAAACTCTCCAAAATGTATTTGGAGACACATATCTAGCGAAGACAACCCGGCGGATATTGTCTCACGAGGTATATCAGCAAGTGAGTTGCAAAATTGTAGTTTGTGGTGGAACGGACCAAGCTGGTTAACTCTAAATTCTAATTGTTGGCCAAATAAATTCATAGAAAATACTGAAAATATACCAGATATTAAAGTTTTTACCATTTCTAACGACAATAATTTTAGTTTATTTTACACGCGTTTTTCCAAATTTTCCACGTTAGTTAGAGTAGTCGCCTTTATTTTAAGATGGTTGCCAAAATCTAAGTCTAATAGAGAATATTTAAAATATTTAACTATGAAGGAAATTCATAATTCTTCAAAATATATTATTTTACGCGTACAACAAGAGAGCTTCGGAAGTATTATGGATGGCTTCGGAACTGATCAGAACTTATATTCTAAATTAAAACCTTTAAATCCTTTTATTGATGGCGAAGGCTTGCTGAGAGTTGGTGGAAGACTCGAATATGCTAACATATCGTATGAACAGAAGCATCCTATAATACTTCCCAAGTCTCATTATTTATTTATTTATTTATTTATTTATTTAAATATATAGCCCACAGATTTCTCCAAGAGGACTCAAAAACACAATTATTTTACATAATGAATAACAATTAAAATATATACAAAATTACAATATATAGTTAGTAACATAAAATGCTTAAGATAAAATTATTATTATTATTATGTTACCGAATTATTTTTACGCGGCGAACACGAAAGAGTTCTGCACGCCGGCACTCAAACCACACTTTCGGTTGTGAGACAAAAATATTGGCCAATTGATGGCCGCAATACAACTAAAGAATTAATTCATAAGTGCGTTAAGTACACTAGATTTAAGGCGGCGGCTTAATTAAAATTTAAAAAAAATCATTATTCATTTATTAATTTTAAAATCTTCGCTGTTACTTAAATTCCAAAATTATATTAATTTTATGCTGTCAGCATTTTATTATGTTATGTTATGTTATGTGCGAAAAATTAAATATTGTTTTAGTTAGATATTCAATATATTTTAATATATATTATTTAATTTAAAAAAAAACTTTATGATATTATTTAATATATTTCTTATACCTAGTAGACACGCCGCTGGGTGTTGCTACTATCTTCTTGTTTATATTATATGATAATTATTGTTAGCAATCTCTGCTTAATGTTAATGAATATGTAAAACAGATTGCAGAATAAATTAAATAAAAAAAAATAATATATTTCTGACTAACTTAGTGTACTTGCCATTCTATACATTGCCGTAGTATGAATAGAAATCATATACCGACATACTATTATCTTCTATATATATAAAAATAAGTCGGGTTTTCCTTCCTGACGAAATAACTCCAGAACGCACGAACCGATTTCGACAATTTTGCATTCGTTGAAAAGGTCTCGGACTCAGCAAGGTTTATAGCTAAGAAAATTAGTTGTGCATGGCATCGTGCCTTAATGCAAGCTGCTGGAACTTCACGCACCGTAATTAAAAATTCGAGTAATAAAAATAATCAATAACTGTTTTAAATAATTTCAAATAGATTATCTTCTATATATATAAAAAAAAGTCGGGTTTTCCTTCCTGACGAAATAACTCCAGAACGCACGAACCGATTTCGACAATTTTGCATTTGTTGAAAAGTTTTCGGGCTCAGCAAGGTTTATAGCTAAGAAAATTAGTTGTGCATGGCATCGTGCCTTAATGCAAGCTGCTGGAACTTCACGCACCGTAATTAAAAATTCGAGTAATAAAAATAATCAATAACTGTTTTAAATAATCTCAAATAGATTATCTTCTATATATATATAAAAATAAGTCGGGTTTTCCTTCCTCACGAAATAACTCCAGAACGCACGAACCGATTTCGACAATTTTGCATTTGTTGAAAAGGTCTCGGGCTGAGCAAGGTTTATAGCTAAGAAAATTAGTTGTGCATGGCATCGTGCCTTAATGCAAGCTGCTGGAACTTCACGCACCGTAATTAAAAATTCGTGTAATGACATTAGTGAGAATTATCAGAATTATGCTTGGTTAAGTCAACGAGCAATTCTTGCCGCAAAGAATAATGATGTACACGCTCTGAATTTCACCATTCAATCAAAAATTGCTGGCGATTTGGTGACATACCAATGATTCTGACTGGTCTTCCGATGACTTCAAACGATTGCAATATCCAGTTCGCCTTGCGTTCGCAATAACAAGTCGCAAAGCCAATCGCTTAGTGTTTGCGGGATAAATTTGTAATAGATTATTTAGAAAATCATTGTTTTTCACATGGGCAGTTAAACGTTGCCTGTTCACAAGTTGGAAAACCATCCGCTTTGTTTGTGTTAACGTCAGACCAAAAAACAAAAAATGTGGTTTACCAAAGATCACTTCTATGAAATGGATAATTTGCGGATTCACTTTCATTTACTTAGAGAAGTTCAACTAAAAAACACTCAATTTTTGTAATCAAAATAAATTCGTTACTGTTGTATAATAAAATCAAATTTTTCTTTTTAAAATATAAAACAAACAAAAAATTTCTTCATCTTTCTCACGAAACCATCTGGTGGCGAAACGGAGTTCGTCGGGTTTGCTAGTTATGTATATATTTTATCAACCTATTTTTTATTTATTTAGTGATAATTGTATAAAATATTAATCATATAGTATACTTGTGCAATATATGAATAATATATATTTAATTATATATGAATATAATTATTATTACACACATACATATAAATATATAATTATTCAAAATAAAAATGTATAGATCTTGTTTTATTAAAAATGTTTTATAAAGAAATGTTCCATACTTATATGCAGAATTTACGAAGGCGCGCGGCGAGCAGTGCTGTTGCTAGTCGTTGCAAATCAGTGACGACTTACACGGGTGTTATATGAGCGCGAGCGTGTTCTTGCTCAGGTTTTTTCTACTTTTGGATGTGTTCTACCACATGAAATAAAACGAAATTTTGGACATTGAAAGAAAATTGAATAGCCTTTCTAATGATGCTAATTAAAAATTAGTCCAAACAATCGCACTACCCAAAAATTCAAATCAAAAAACTATTTTCACTTTTTCATGCACTAAAAAATAATTATTAAACAATATTTGTTAAAAATAATATAGTACACACCGTTGTGAATAGAATGGCGTTATTTGTTTATCGATATCTTTTACAGTTGCGACAAAAAACGACTTTGAAAAAAGGGGCCACTTTCACACATTTTCAACGATATCTCGGCCAAATGATGAGCTACGGATTTGAAATTTGGTATATCGGATTTTCTCGAAAATACCTATAAAATGGCATCAAAATTATTTAAATGCCAGGGTGGGGCCAATTCTGTATGGAAACACGCCCATACCCAAATAAATTAAAAATTTATTAACAGATTACGACCATGCGTGATCAATTTTGGAAAACATGGTCAAATCAATATTTAAACCAATTACAGGCCCGACATAAATGGTCAGACAGTTGTTCGAATTTAAAAATTGATAGTGTTGTATTAATTAAGGAAGACAATGCACCACCATTGCACTGGCAACTTGCCAGAATTGTAGACATAAAACCAGGTGCAGATGGTAAAGTTAGAGTCGTTAATATTAAAACTAATAAAGGAATCTATACTAGACCAATAACTAAAGTTGTACCTCTTCCGATAGAATAAATATATGAAATTCCATATCTTATAAGTTAAATTTAAATAATGTATTTTTTTAGAATGTTAGAATAGATTTTACTCAATTAGAATATATAATTTAAAATGAATTATTATTGATTACTATTATTATTTTTATACATTCCACTTTTCGAAAACATGTGTATCAAATTTAGATTACGATTATATTATTCATTTATGTATTTTAGGTTAAGTTACAATTTTGATAAATGTTAATGAAATATTTATAATTAATGTTAATAATGTAAATTTTTGGATGCTTTGCATCGCCCGGGAATATGGACAAATGTATTTGTGTATTCAAATTTCGCGCGGC